TCCCAAATGAAGGTTTCCAGAAAAAAGCGCCCCCCCCAAGAATTAGTAAAATGTGCTTAAAACCAGAGTTTTAGGCATGTAAAGTAAGGAAAAATATGGCGTCAATTATGACCTACGCTCCTAGTAGTAGTGGTACTTGTAGTTGTTGTTGCTGCTGCTGTCACTGTTGCTGTTGCTGTTGCTGCCGCTGGCTGCCGCTGGCCGCCGCCGCCGCCGCTGCTGCCGCTGGTGTTGTAGTTGTTGCAGTAGCAGCAATGATAGCAGCGGTAGTAATCGTCATCGTGGTGGTGGCGGCGGTGGTGGCGACAGTAGCAGTACCAACGAGAATGTCATCACCAACTGGGCTAGCTTTGTTGCGAGTACCGTCCCCTGCCTCGCCCTAGTCATCGCAAACTACCGTGAGCATCATCACACATCGTCATCATCAACAACACCAGTACCATCACTGTCATCCTACTACTACAGGGACACTCCGACTGTTTCGCAGAATCTAGAAAATACATCCAGAGCCCTTCGCACCTTCCAAGTCGAAAGACTGCCCCACACCCTCAACCTTCGACAGAAGTCCTATCACGAAACATGGCAGGCTCCAGCTCTTGGATCCACAAGGAAGGACGGGATGCTAAGGGTTACCGAGTCAGCCGCTAACACGGACGCGCAGCCCCGATTGTGTCCATGCTCGGGATGGGACAGACTACAAGTGCGATGACGCAACAATCCTACTAGCGCCGCAGTCACACAACTACAGTTCAAGATGTGAAGGTCGAGGCTACTTTCATCCTGGCTGCTGTGACAGATCCGGCAGCTCCGCCAGCTGGTTGTAGCTGACCTGATCGCGAAGTTCCCTTGTAACGCCTCTAAACCTACTCCCTCAACCCCATAAACCCTAAACCCTAATTAACCAAGGCCCAACAAGCAATCTGTCTGACTCTGCTCAGAGTTCGGTGCATGCCGACCGGCGCAAGCCTGAATCTTAAACACTAAAATCACCAAAACCAAGGCCCACTTCCTTCTAGGGGCGCTCGCAACACAAGCAAGTCAGCGAAGAGAAGGCACCACCCACAACTCGCAACTTCAGCCTTCTCGGAACCCAAAGCTGCAGGGTTGATCCTTTTTTTTGCTACGGGGCTCGAGTCTAGACATGTCTGGACCCTAAATCCCACACACCTACTAATGAGGTGCGTGGAAGTTAGGTAAGTTAGGCCAATTGCAAATCAAGTATAAAGGACTTATATAGGGGTTACAAGCTAGTTATAAGCTAGTTATAAATGGTATAAGTGACTTACAAATGGCTATCTGGAACAACAACTAATTTAGTAATTTTAAATATGTTCCAAGTAGTTATAAACGGCTGTAGGACATAAATTTGTTTGTAAGTTAACCATAACTTTACACATTTTTTTGCATATACAGATACATCTGAATATCCTGTTAGATAGCTTTCATTTATTTTCATTTATCGAAAGTTAGCTTTATTGCAAGTTATGAGCATGTGTTTTGGCCGTAGGTGGGTGCTGAACTGGTGAAGATTTCGGTATAGAGCTTCATCAATCGGGTAGCGCTTTTAGTTTTGTAGAGGGATGCCTTCTATAGAGGTCGTGACGTGAGCGGCTTGGCCGCCTTTGGCGTTGTGTGACGTGAGCGGCTTGGCCGCCTTTGTTTTCGTGAGACATGAGCGGCGTGGCCGCCTTTGGCGTTGTGAGACATGAGCGGCGTGGCCGCTTTTGGCGTTGTGCTACATGAGCGGCTTGGCCGCTTTTGGCGACACGTGCGGCTAGGCCGCTTTTGGCATCGTGAGACTTGAGACATGAGCGGCTGGGCCGCCTATATATCCAGCACTTGCATAGCGATACGCTGCATCTTGCTCCCCTGTATATTTTTTTGCATGACGAAGCCCTGCAGCGAGCCCCAATGCTGGCACGGAAACCTGGTGATCCGTTTGCGCGAAGGTAGTAAAGCTCAGGCGCCAGAGAGACGAGCTATTTTCAGGATGATTTGGCCATGGCCTGCATTCCGTCTCCAGCTGTGACTTGTCATTCCGTCTGCAGCTGTGAGTTGTAGTGATAGACCAAACTGCTCCTTTGCTTGCAACCAAATTAGTACTTGCCGGCCTCCTGGGCTGACAGCAGAGAAACTCCCAGGGAGCAGTCTGTACACTCGCTGAGTTGCGCGGAGACTGCGCTGAGACGGTACTGTATCTCAGCGGACCTGAAAATGTAGAGAGCTCCACGGTTTGTGTGCGCTGAGATTCCCGGCAGGGAGGTCGTAGCTGCAGTCGCTGAGTTCCGCTGAGGACTGGACATGAGGTAGGTTTGCTGCAGAACTCTGCATACTCCCGGCCGTAAACAGGACGAACTGCGAGCTGCTGGCAGAGATCCGGTTGTGTTTTCTGCTGAAATCCTCGGACTTGGGAATCTATGCTTGGACCGCGTCTGAACACATGCAAGCCGTGTCACTGACGGATGGTTCTTGGGTGAGACCTCACGGTTGGATGGCAGAGGCCGGCATGGTGCATACCTTGTGGTGAGCAGAAGAGCAAGATTGTGTCCTCGACAGCTCTGCCTGCAGGTGTGTTGCCCTGCACACGAGAGCCAATAACGGCGCATAGTGTAGAAATCATGCCTAACCGTCAAATGTCTTCTGCACTTGTGCCTGCTAAAACTGTGTTTGTAATCGCTATGTGCCAGGTATCTCAGATAGTGCAGAACTTTGCGCGGCCAGGCTGCCTGTATGCAGTATGTTGTCTGTGCGTATAGCGGCCAGGCCGCCTGCGCACTAAAATGTCGTGTGTGTGTGTGTGTACTTTTCTGTATGCCTTTGAAGAGTTGGTATAATGTTCAGCGGCAAATTTTCTAGCAAACATGGCATCTGATTGCGCGGGAATATAGCATGCCACCGCATTCGCGCACAATAAGCTGTTTTCTTCTGGCTGATTGGGACGTGGTTGAAACGGGACTATGAAATATCGAAATATTTATGTTCTCAGCGCGGAAATCGTTTATTGGAAGTTAGGTTTCACATACAATACTTACTAAACATTTAGTAACTGCTTATAACTTAGTTGCTAAAGTCCTGTAACTCTGACGATAAGTCACTTATAAGCTGTCTAACTGAATGTAAACTATGGCTAACTTGCCTAAATTCCACGCACCTCATTAGTAAGCCCTTAAACAAGCAAAAGCTCAAGGTGCGTCGAGCTCAACCAGCTCAATGTTGCGATCCAGCGACGGGAGCACCTGTGGATGCAAAGTGTGCAGTGGAGGGCTCTGGAGTTTTTGAGGTCCAAAGGGTCGATAAGGGCAGTTTTCTACATCAGACTCCGGCTTTAGATCCCCAAAAAATAGCCGCACCCTTATAAACGGACCCTAAGAGAGACCCTATTTTAGAGAACTACCCATAAGGCTACAGGGTGTTCCCCACCAAAAAAAAACAAACAGATTTAGTATTCGGAAGCAAGGCCTCCAGGTCATTGAAGGAGACATCGAGGCGCTGCAGGGATCGCATGTGACCTCGTGGGCTGTTTAAGTGGGAAGACTCGTGGAGCGGTGGAAGCATCAACTTATCAAGGGATGCTGCTGACGAAGAAGAGCAAAAGGGGGAGGGGTCGCAGGAGGAACAGGAGGACGACGACGAGGAGGAGGAGGAGGACGAGGAGGAGGGAGGAGGGAATGGAACGGCAGGTGATGACGATGATGACTTTGCTGATGACTGCAATGGTCATGAAAGTGGGTTTGATGAGGACATTATGCCCATGGTAGTCGCGTGAATCATGAGAATGGGACGGTGAGGATCACGACGATGGTGTGATAGCTCTCGGCTCCATCTACCAGTCTTACACCCACGCGCTATGTCAATCCCCATTAAGGCTGAAGTACCTGCATTGACAGTGATTCACAGCAGGCTTTATACTCACAGGAGGGACTTCAGTTGCAGCTTCTAAGCGTGGATGATATTGGTAGGAATTTGGGCGCTCAAAAGACTTAAAACACCGACTACAACCTGCCAGCGGGGTCCCCTGATCCTCAAGCAGCGAACGTAGGCCCATCTCATCCCGAGCCTCCCCCCTGAAATGCTTCGAGCCACTGAGATCAGGCAAGCGAAGGAGTTTGTTCCTCGGTTGAGGGTTTAGGGTAGAAGCATTTTGGCTCCGCACGGCTGTCTGCTACTTTTCGTGAAGTTTCGGACCCGGATTTAGTGGTCCTGGGTGCAAACTCAGGATGGGAATCTGGGCTCGGGGCCGGGTTCAGGCCCGAAGTGTTCAGAAGTTTCCGGGTTTAGGTTTAGAGACAAGGGGGTCTTTTGGTATAACCTTTTCCTGCCAAGTTCAACCAATTGCATGTCATTCTGGGAAAACGTGCCGCAGAAATTCGCCGGAATCCCAACCATGATGCAGCTACTGTGCGCTACTGTGCCGGTGTAGGTGTCAGGTTAAGGGTTCAGGGTATAGAGTTTAGGATCTACTTTAGGGTCGAATGTTCTCAGCTTCTGATTTTTGGCACCCCAATCGCCGTTGATGACAGGTGCTGCTGCACACGAAGGCAGTCCCTCGCATGATAGCAGGGCCCCAGATGCCCAAAGGGATCTAAAAAGACTGAGTGGCCCATAAGAGCCATGATAATCCTGCTGTAAGCATCTGCTGAGCCAGCTTCTAATCAATCCTTGCAGATCTCATCTCTAGATCCCTTTAGGGATTGCGGGCACGAGCAAATTATCGGACGAGGCTCGCTGATTGCGAGTCGGGTCCAAGCCAACTGTCCCAGGAGAAAGGAAGGTTGAGCTTTCCGTGCTGTTAGGTTGTTTGGCTGGTCATTCCTAAACTCCTTCTTGCCATCATGGCCCAGTGAGTAGAGGAGTTGAAGAAACTCCATTATACCATCTTGGGACATTTGGCTCCCACGGCCTTTGGCCAGCAAGCTCTGAACTCTAAGTCAGAACATGGAACGTAACGACTTCGCATCGACCCTCACGGGGCCGTGCAAACTCCTTTCCACTTTCAAGATAACTTTCGAGAGTAGGTCCTGCCAGGTAGTAGAAATCTTAAACGGAACGAGAAATCGTGTTGCCGCTCTCCTGGCTACAGGATCTGTAGCTCTAAGCCGCCCTTCTTCCATCAGTGGCTCAGCCCCCAAGCGCAAGGACCTTCTGAGCCTGCAGCCTCTGCATCACGGGCCCAAACTCCTCGTGGATCACTTGCACAAGGCGGGACTCTGGGTTGGCTCCCCCATTGCAGTTCGGGTGTAGGGCTTAGGGTCTTCAAGATTGAGGGTTGAGGCTCTGGCCGCAGCCATGGACATCTCTCTTAGTGCACACAAATCCACTGGTAATCCTGGTAGGCCCTCTGTATCCCCCCGTACAACTCCTCGAAGCCACCTGTGGGACCACGTCATTGGCACTGCCATTACTATTCAAATGGTAACTATGCTGAATGTTACCACAAAAGGCTATAACTTTATGAATAACTGTTAGTCTACGCTTTGTTTATCTTTCTGACTCTTACTATGACTACTCTGTTTACTGTGCTTGCTCTTTTGACCCTTAGCTACTATAATTAACGGTATCACTCTTATGCTCTTACGACTGTGCTTTCCCATCAATCCCGAGTTTCTCGCTCGTATTACTCTGAACGTTCTTATTGCTCTTGTGAGTCTTATTCATAGTCTTGCACATTATTCTCGGTACCATGAGATGGCTGAGTCCTGCTTGCGCTTCTCAGCCAGCGATCTGCCTTCCTCACCCGCCGCAGAATCTGCCGAGCTACGCTTCGGTGAGGCACGGCGGCCATCTGAGGATAAGGGACTAGGGCTTGGGGCAAAAAGGGTTCAGGGGTTTTGGGTAAGATTGGGTAGGGACCTCAGGAAGATGCACAAGGTTTGTCAGGAAACTGTAACTATGTGTCACTGTGAGAGAGCTTGCCCCCCCCCCCCCCCCAAAAAAAAAAAGATAAGTTACCTACTGGTTTGTTTGCGCGGGGCCTTTGGAGTCCACATTCGAACTGCCCATCTGGGCTCAGGGATCGAGATGCCCGGATGTGCCAGAGTCATACAAGCAAAACACTCGGATGAGCGTAGATCTGTCTATGTGGAGATCGTCGCAAGCTTCGACAAGAACCACGGACATGAACAATTATCGCCGGGACCATCCCTAGGTGCTAGGACATCCAGACGCTTCATAACTGTCGAAGTATGTCGAAGTTATGCAGCTCCCCCCCCCCAGAAGGTTTGAACGGCTGTTTCTTGCAAACCGCGAAGAGCCTTCCAAACATACCAGCAAGTTTAAAGCTCATGAGTTGCTGAACTTGGCCGAGACCGCTTCTCATCTAGTCGGTCTAGTCCAGTGCACGGTTTCATGCTGTGACACCGGCTAGTTTCAAGAAACCCGGCCTGAGCAAGTCCATCCAAAGTCGGCTTCCCAATCGCGAGCTTGGCGGCGTCGGGCCTCTGCCGCGTCTCTCTCCTGGTCTGTGAGGTAGTGCAAGTCGGACATCATCTCCTTACAAAAGCCTGCGAAGAAATCGTCCTCGCCATGGCGACTTAAGAGGCAAGATCGGAGAGCCGCATCTGCAACCTTTGCAATGGCGACTGCCGCTGCAACTGCTGTCAGACAAGGCCCCAGAAAGCATGCACCATTGACAGAGACTTTGCCCGCGACGCTTATACCGGAATGTAGTCCAAGAGGCAGCGAAACTGCCTCGCATAGCTGATCGAACCACAGCCGCGACTTTCTCCAGGAGGGGTAAAAGAAGTCGTCACTTGAAGCCTTCTGGACAGTCACCTCCGTTTTGCAGTCCCTGTCCGCCCCCACGTCTAAGGCCTCATGCACATCGCGGAAAGCATCCATGTTCCAATGCAAATTCGCAAGATTCGACTGCAAGATCTTGAAGGCGTTGGCCCTTTCACCCTCGTAGCTAGATTTGTCGAACCGGTCCAAGATCTTGGAAAGGCGTGAGGCATTCTTTAGCTGCGCCTGTGTGATGCCAGGAAATGGCGACTCAATACCACCCAGAGAGGCTATGAAAGCTTGAACAAATCGCCTGACCTTCTCCTTGTCGACAACGTCGCGGCAACGCACGGACAGGTGGAAATGATGATCATAACGATATCCCGGATCACCACGGAACACAGCGCCACTGAAAGCAACCACATCGGAGCAAGCAATGGGCACATGCTTGGCTACGTCGTCCATGACCCAAACTTGACAGCCTGCTCGTACAGCAGTTGCTGTAGAGGAAATGGCTTGCAATATGCAATGCCTTACCAGGTACGGTCACCTTCTGCAGGCACCGAATGCTAGGATCTCCAGTAGCAAGCATGACCTATGATAAGGTATCATGAGGCCACGCAGGCAACTGTAAGAAGTGCAGACATGTGAAAGCAGGCAGGCAGATGGGCAAGGTAGGGACGGTAGGTAAGGCGCAGAGTCGGGACCCGAAGCCCCTAAAACCCTAAACCCTAAATCCTAAACCCTACCCCTGTCGCCGAGTGACTTGGGCACAAGGAGCTCCAAAATCTTGGAGTGGAGTGGACCAAACTCCTCGATGAGATGAAAAACGCTTAACCAGGGGGTTCCGGTTTTCACCCCTGACTCCTATAAACCTCATAACCATAAAGCTTGCCATAAGGGCAAGGCCGCAAGGCTGGATGTTGAACACAACCATCAGAAATGAGCAATTTCGCAACCACGACCTGCGCAAACAAGTCGAATGAAATCAGCCAGAGTGGCCTCAACTCTGAAACCGAAGCCCCAACACCCTAACTGTCTCAAGATCAATGGGAGCGCTCGCGGTTTGGGGTGGAAATTTGCCGCACAAGAGTTAGCAAACCAAAGAAGAAGCAACATGGGGTAGCATCATGAAAAGCCCAAACCCGAAGCCAAGGGCATCTGCTACCAGCTTCGTGACTCGATTGGATCTCAGAAACGCCCTAAACCCCTCAACCCTGAACCCCCGACACCAGCTAAGCCCCTGAACCGTAACTTATTCGAAGTGCTGGCTCGGCCTTCAACTCAAGTCTCCCTTCTTGGAGGCTGGGTGGGTTACGGCAGCTCCATGGGCGTTGCCAGGCATGGAGTTTTGAGGGTCATGCCCAGGTAATGTAGGGGGGGTTTCGGGGGTATATAAACGAAATCATAATAACAAGGAGCCCCTACAATAGTATAGGTAATTATTAAGGCCCCTATATTGAACCCATCCAGCCCTGATGGGAAACATCTTCAACTGGGGTCTAAGCACTAGCTGCCTTTAAACACTAAGCCTTCGTTTTGGGCCCACAATCCGATACCCTGAACATTCCGACATCGCCATTGCACCCTGAACCCTTCATGACCCTACGTCTTCAGGTGGCCACTAAAGAGGACTTTTCAGTAACATATCTGCCAAAACCCGGCTCTATGACTAAGACTCCTTTGACACCCTCAAAATATGATATCCCTCACAACTCCCCTGGTCGAATCAGTTAAGACAAAAACCAAAGGCACACAAACCCTAAACTTCCTAAACCGTAACTTAAACCCTAAGACCCCGAACCTTCAATCCTCAAACCTAAACCTTACACTCTACACCCTGTAGGGTGTCCTAAACCCTAAACCCTAAACCCTTTGCCGGCAAAGCTCCGTGAGGGCGTTGAAACCCAAGGACATGATTTCCAGCCTGGGAGCCCTACGGCTCCATGTACACTATGGATTCCTTTAAGGGTTCCTTTCAAGGTTCTATAAGGGTTGAGGGCTTATGGGTTCCTTTAAAAGGTTCGATATGGGCTTAGGTAGGGTTTCTGGGTTTCTTTAAGAGTTCCTTTAAAGGTTCTGTAAGTGTTTAGGGTTCCGGGGTTGTTTTACGGGTTCTTTTAAAGGTTCTATAAGGGTTTAGGGTTTCTGGGTTCCTTTAAGGGTTCCTTCAAAGGTTTTAGGGTTTTGGGTTTATCTGCTACTGTATAAACCTTTCAAATGTTCTATAGGGGCACCCTAGGGGTTTAGGGTATAAGGCCCCATCTACTCATAGTATATTAAAGGGGTTTCTTTCTAGGTACTATACAGTATACAAGTACATGGATAGGGGAAGTTGAACTCTTTTGTTTAGGGTTCTATCAGGTTTTATGGGGCCTTGAGGTTCCATTCAGGGTTGTATGATGAGGGTTTCTATTCTCACTCTCGCACAAGACAGGCAAGGCTCCACCTAATGATGAGAGTTTAGGGGTTTTGCTGAATACTGGGGTTTAATGGATGGATTAGGGTTTCTTGTTGCGACTTACTCCGGCTCCAATGCCAGGGTTCCGCCTGGACTTAGAGTTTAAGGTTTTAATGAGGGGCTTTATTCTGTCTTTCATAAGCGTTTCAAAGAAGCGAGCTGTAGTTTTATTCTCTGAGGTCACTAACTAGATTGGGGGATTTGCTCGGAGGGTGGTGGGCCTGGGTCGTGGGACTGCGGCTGTGGGGGTGATCATGCTTGAAGATCCACGTGGAACTGGCAAGGATCAATCGCATTCCCGCGGAAAGCTTCCGGACAATTGCGGAGGGAAACGCGCGATAGAGAACGTGAAGACCTACAAAAGCACAGTGAAGGAAGAACTGTGCGACCAAGCAGTCAGGCTCGTACTGTACTGTGCAGAGACATAGCAGCGAAGATGGACATGCTGTGGGGTCCTGGTCACCGAATGATCGCACATTGTTTTGGACACAGAGTGGACTGGAACTTGCTGAGTCGGAATATAGGGACCTTGATAATTGGAATGGTTTTGGGGTATATTCTACTATACTAATTATAAGGAACCCTAAAATAGTAGAGGTAATTATTAGGGCCCCTACATCAGTCTGGATGGCTCACCAGGCTCACCTGCCCACACAAGACTTCAACTGGTTTGCGACTCAGCAAGCAGAACTCACACTTGAATTGATGTCAAGAACTCGTGTTTGGTTTACGGCTTTATAGGGTTGTGTGTATAGGGCCGTTTTGGGGTGTTAGGGTTTAGGCGGTTTAGGATATTGGTTTGGGGCCTATCTACCAAGCTCATAGCACTTGCAGAACAGGGGTGACTACGATTACAACGACTACTACGAGCAGGACGACTCCTTATTGTAGAAGCCGCATCCAAGTGTACCAATAACTCGCCTGATTCTCTACCTGCCTATCTGCCTGCTTTGGCCCTACACTTCCTATCGCTCGTCCTCGTCTCTTGTTTTTGTTCGTTCTTTCTTTCTTGCTTTCTCTCGCTCGCTCTCTTATCGCCCCTTCGCTCCTTCTTTACCACGTGCCTCGCCTGCACCATCGTCAGGAACAGCTGGCACCGAAAATGCTGAGATATCTCTCAGCCAGTACACTCCGAAAGGGCAAGCAAACATCTTTGCTCGCAGCGCTGTCAGAAGGTCAGACCCCGTCGTGGGGCCCTGCTGAGCTGGACTGGGCACTCAACTATAACCCTAAACCCTAAAACCCTAAACTTCTAAACCCTACCTATCTATTTCACGTCATAAAAGCGAGAAGGTATGCCAAGGAGCGACGTCATCGCTTCCAAGCTTGGTAGGGAGGTGAGATTGTTGTGCTCTAGGTTGCACACCACGAGCGCCTTGAAAAGCAGTGAAGAGCTGACCCTAACCCCCCAGGTACCTACTATATAGCGTACTAAAGCCCCTAGGGCCCTATGTAGTAGGTACCTGGGGGGTTAGGGTGAGCTATACCTGAAGTAGACCACTTGCAATAGCCGTGACCACAAATGGCCAACCTCATAGCCACGAGTTGAGCTGTGACAACAGGATGATTAGTCACAATAGAGGTCTACTACGCAGACAACATAGATAGCTAACGGAATAACAAGGACGAACGCCTTCTTCAAAAAGGCCCCGGACTGACGCCAGGTAAACGCTAAACCCTACAGCCTCTGCCAAACCCTACATCGCGCTTGAACCAGAAGCCTCTGATCCTGTAAGCCCTGATCTGCATGAGGACCTTATTGGGTTCAGGTTGAACAGATGACTGAAAAGAATCGCTGACGGAGGTTAGAGGAGTCCTGATGTTGAAGCTGCCAAGATCTAGAGTTCTGCCGTCAGCGCTTCGAGGTTTGGGGGTTTGGGTTGAGGGTTTGGGGTTTGGATGGTTCAGGATTTGGGTTTGGGTCTTGGGGGAAATGGATTTGCGGCTTAAACCCTTTATCTCTAAAACCAGAGCTGAAAGTCACTAAATCCCAAAAAGCATCAATACGAAATTGCGGGCCGGCAAACCCGAATCACTGATTCAGCGTAAGGAGCATGCATTTTGTGGAGACCATCCACACTCTGCAGCTGGTTGTTGGATGCCTCAAAGACATCTGACCGTGCGGAAAGAGGGAATGCATATTATAGACAAGGACAGTAACGAACAATAAAGATTAGGATTTGGTAAGAAGGACAGGGTCTAGGATTTGGGGTAAGGCTCAGAGTTTGATTCAGGGGCTCTGGTTTACCGTTCAATGACAATGAGAAACCCTAAGCCTTGACTCCTAATGCCCTATCCCTAGCCCAACACCACGGGCCATCGGAAGCTAAGACCTTTGAGCTCTAACACCTTACAGCTTAAAACCCGTTAAACCAACCATCAACAGCCCTGAACACACCAAAAAGCAACATACCTGACAACCCGTATCCTTTTTCCGCAGGCTTGTTGGAGCTCGCCCGGATCCCCAAACCCTATAAACCCTAAACTTGGCCCTAAACCCTAAACCCTAAACTTGGCCCTAAACCCTAAACCCTAAACTTGGCCCTAAACCCTAAAACCCCAAACACCCCAAACCGCCTTGAGTTTCACCAGCTTCGGCACCAAACCCAGGCTCGCCAGCTTGGTCAATCTGTTGTTGCCTCGAGGCATCTGAGATAGAGCTATCCATGGCTTGTTTGGCGATTAGGATTCAGGTTTAGTTTAGGGTTTAGGGATTTTCCCAGAGCCCAATACCCCTTAATGAAGGAATATAGCCTAAATCATAAGATTAAGCCCCTTATAAGTTCATGCATTTTCCTAAATTAAGGGCTATTGGGCTCTCTGGGTAGGCTTAGGGAGGCTATAGGGTTTTTGGGGTATTGCAATACTGAGGTCATGCCATGTCAGTACCATGAACTAGTGACGACAGGCCACATGAGATGCAAGGAGAACAGGAAGGGCAATGCTCGTGGAAGTGGTAGGACAACCAGCGGTAAGCGTGCAAGCCCCAATGTCGCCTATACTGGCGAGGCAGACATGGAAGCTAAACAGACAAAACTCGTCGCATCTGTGCGCCCCATGACGACAACCACAGTGATAAGAACAATCATGCTCAAATGCGGTGCTGTAGTATGTTCACATCCCGAATGGGTCCTGGTGGCACAAGACATTTGCACAATAACAGCTCCCAAGTCTCAAAGCACTTAAACCTGTTGCCTAGCAGACATCCCGAACGCAAAACCCTATCTAACAGCTAACAGAAATCCCTGTCCAACAGGAAACCATGTCTTACCCATAAACTTGGCTGTATGGAAGAAGTTGGGAATTGCAAGACATCGCCGCACTGAACAAACACAAAACCCTGTCGACGATAGTAACTAAGCATAGACGACTAAAGTTCGCTATAGCCATAGTAACCTGAGTGAACAGAGGGGTGACACAAGTCATAGCAATCACCATCACCACAAGCATCATCATCATGACCTATACGTGTGGCATAAGTTGCAGCACCCTGGGCCTCAAACTGCCTAAGGCTTCGGTGCTTCAGTCATCCGAACCCGTCTGGCCCGTCTCGACGCCACTTTAACCGTAGCTGCTTGTGCTGACTACCTGGTGGTCGGATCTTGAAAAAGGTTATCCCAAGACACGATACTACGATCCAGGATCTAGGCCAGACCAAAAGAACCCACACTTCAAAGTATCAGTTGAAAAGTCAAGCATCACTCACAAGCACCTACAGGAGTCGACAACGGGAGCGGGAAATCTCGTGCACCCTATACACATAAATGTACGGACGTGGTGGACGGATAAACAGATCTTAGTTATGTATGCACACGCACAGAGACTAGCGTCTTTGTCTTGTTTGCTGGCGCATCTATCTGCGTATAAGTGTTGTTTCGCATACATGTGCTGTTTGTGCAAGCATGCACTATTATATCATGTATTCACGACGCATGCATGTGCATGTACATAAACGCACATGTAGGCAAACATATGTATATACACACAGAGACAAAGGGAGATCAACGTACAGGGACTGTCGGGTTAACAGGTGTGAGAGCCATCCACTAAGAAACCGAACTCCCGAAATAAAAGTGGCAGGACCCTACAGTGGCAGGTATACAAATTTAAGTGCATATGCATGTCTGTCTGTCCCTGGGTGTGTACGAGACTCAGCTCCAAAGGGGCTCTGCGTCAAAAAGACCCTCGCGAGGTGCACACCAAGCAGCTGACGCTGAGGTGGCGCAAAGTTCTCGGCAATCTGACCGACAGCGCCGTCAGTCGATTCCTGAGTTTTTCAGGGGCAGGAATGGGTTCCTTCCCCTTGGTATGTGGGCCTCAATTGTGCAAAGTGTGTTTTGTGGCAAAAATCTCTGGCATGTTGCGAACGTCCCATCTCACCTGCAAAACTGCTCAAAATCCGCCCGAAAATCTGTGTTGGATGATATTTGAACTTTAAAAACCGATAAGAGCCACCTTTTTCCTCCGTAGTTCTCAGTATGAACCTAGGCTAGTACGAACCCTAGACTCGGTTGAACCCTACTTCCTCCGAACAGTTTACCTGTTCAGTTACAGGTTAAGGCAAAGCCGCCAGTCAAGCTCGAGCCGCTGCAAGGACGACATGCTCTCCACACCTGCATTTAGGGCTTTAGGGAGTGGGTTTGGGGTTCAGGGTTTAGGGTTTAGGGTTTGGGGTTCAGGGTTTAGGGTTTAGGGAGTGGGTTTAGGGTTAGGATGACAGAAACCCCGAACTACGCCCTATCGGAGCCCGAATACAGATGAATACAGGCTACTTGCCAGAGGGATTCCAGACTTTCGGCCTTCGATAGGGCTGTGGGGGTTTGCGCTGCGGATCAGGATTCGCAATCTCGGTTTCGAGCAAGCTCCAAAGTGCATTGTGAACCTGATGATACGTTGGACAAGCCGGGAGGAGGAAGCATTGTCATAACATAGGAATGGCGAGCTGCCGGTGCCGCTTCTAGACGAGAGCAGCAACATTTGGAAAACAGCAAACGCGCTCGTGGTGGTGACAGTGACCATGATGCTGCATGTTGCAGATGTTTCCCTGTGTATCTGCAACGACGATGACTACTGACCACCACGGCCAAGCGGGAACAGTAGCTCTCAGTGTGTCCGCAGTCATCACGGGCCTGCAACCCACTCCAACTGATTGCTGCGGGCATCCAACCTTGAAAGGGGCGATCTGGTTACAAGTTTGCTCTGGGGCGCAAATTTTAGGTGAAGCTCTGGGAGTGTGTGTTCAAGAGCTGGCCTTGCAAATCACAATCCATGCTTCTGAGGCTGGCGGTTGTATCACGTGCCTGCAATATCAATGCTGGCTTTCCGGTTCTTGTTACCTTGTTGGGCCTTGTCGGGAGGTCTCGCCACTGTGTCGGCTTTGGGTCCGAAAACCGCCGGGTGCCCTGTTCGACGGTCTAGCGGGGAACGTTGCATCTTGACACTACCCAAGACCTGAAGGATGTTGCTGCCATGTTCCTCGATTTTTAACGGATTTAATTAGACATCCTGATATACTTCTTGCACTCCATGTCATACTGCATTAAACTAAGGAAAGCTATGGGCATTGTAGTATAGCCTTACCCCGAGACTTGTATATCGGATAACTGATCGGATAGCTTGCCGGGGTGGGGGCGTGACAGTGGAGATGAAGCCGGGGGGGAGGTGGGACAAGGCAACCATCCAAGAAAGCCTAAAGCTTTAAAACCCTAAAAACACCCTAAACCCTGAAGTCTCTAATTACTCCCGAAAACCTAAACTGTAACTGCAGCACGGAAACACTCTCATGGACATGTACTGAGGCCCGGTGAGATTCAAAGAACGAAGCTCCTGTCGCTGAGGGTTAATGGTTTGGGGTTTAGGGTTTGGGGTTTGGGGTTTAGGTTTAGGGTTAAGGGTTCAGGGTTTAGGTTCAGAACTTACTCTTTTCTGCAACGCTCCAACAGAGCTTGGGTGTTAGGTCAGCTGAGGCCGAGGATTTATTCTGAGTTCAAGGCCGCAAAATGGGCCGCAATACTCAGCATACAGACATTCTCGATTCCGAATTCCTCTAAGGACTTTAGGTGGGATCCCAACTAGGGACCCTAAATCCCATACTCAGCATGCTAGGATAGTCTTCCACAAGGCTCCTTAGTAGAATTTTGATTCAACATATACCTGAACCCTACTCCAGTTGCTAAGACCCCTATAGTATTCGAAGCTAGCCGGTCGTCTCTTAGGGGATACTGCAGTGACACGCCAGGTTTTGGGGGTAGGGCGAATTTGAGGGCTATCCTTGTTACATGGTTAGTGGTTAGAGCTCTATCGTCAGCAGTAAGAAAAAACGAGGCAGAAGGACCTACGGTTGACGGTCTATAGAGGAAACGAAACCCTCATCCGGAACACAGCCCATGTTATCTTGCATACCGGTGAGAGCGCATGGGCCTGGATTTCACGCGAACCAATTGAAATGATTTAGGGATGGCGGCTATACTACACGGTAGCATAGACTCGGCTTTAGGGCTATGTTGCAGCATTCTACCAATGATTGCTTCGTGTGACACTCCCCATCTGTTGCAGCAGTCGCATGACGAACACCAATCCGCGAACTTCAAACAAACCTACGACCTATAGCAAACCCCAAAAGGTTGGAAACCGGATTAAGGACACATAGTGCTGGGATTCCCTAAGCATGACTCTCAAGGATTGGGGCTATTGGGTTTCCAACTTTTGGGCTTCTACTGTGTAGAACCTTGAACAAGCATGAACAGCTTCAACCCCTGAACCGTCCAATCTGCAGCCCTGCCGTCGTCAATCGGACCGTTCCCCGACCCCAATGGGTCTCCTATACCCATATGGTGGAATGTCGGGTTTCTATGGAAGGAGTTACTTCTATGATTTAGGGAAATCTCCCCCATACCCTTTTGCAACAGGCTTTCCACTTCGCCCGGAGTCGGAGCAAGCAGCCCTAGCAGATACCCTAAACCCGAAACCCGAAGTGAACCCAAAGTATGGCCAAGGAACGTTCCAACCAAGATTGAGGCTGTCGATCGGTGCAGCCTGAGATTGGGAACATAGGCTGTCGGCTATGGGCTCGAAGGGTTCAGGGTTTCGGATTTAAGGGCTAGCCCTTATTTCGGGTATGCCATGCTTTTCGGATTTAAACCATATAAGCTTCGACAGGCTGTGGAACTTGGAAAAAAACCCGGAGTGTTTTGGGCTTCGAGGCATTCTCCGGTAGCCATTTCAACAGGTATGTAGGAAAGGTCCAAGGCTTGTAGCGGGCTGAGGCCAGAGGTGAGTCTTCAAAACCAGTGGATACGACAAATGCATCGAATTTCGCGTGGAGTGGGGCTTCTACTTATTGCTTCCAAGCCTGCTTATGGCTTACCACATGCGGAAGGTTAAATCCTCGTCAAGCGCCTGCTCCTTACTCCGCCTGCCCTCAATAAAGAACCTGCCTTCTGCAGGACTTGTTGCAGTGCCTGCTATGCGGGTTTGAGATATGAGTAGGCGTGTACAGTGGTATCCGGATCCCAGCCCATCGTCGACACCTTTCTTATGAGAGGAGGGTGGCAGAGCTGATCCCAGGCATCTCCTCCACCTTGTTGGAATTCCTGAGATTGTTCCGGCGGTGCATGTGTGCGAGGCCGGCCAATGGAAAGCATGCTGAAGTCCAGGTTTGAGATGCAGAAGGCAACCCACACAGGCCGTGATTGTGTCATCTAAGTTCTTCCGGGTTGGTGTACAGCTTCACCGTTGCTGTTGCATCAGTTGCCTACAAGCCCCAGATTTGATCGTCGTCGACCTCCGAGGGGACAAACGTGTTTGACAGAAGCAGCGCGTGAGGAACGGTGTTGTGAGGCATGGAGATCTAGCCAGGTGCAGCCTCGAGATGAAGGCCAATCCCTCAATCCTACTCTGGTTGGAGATGTTGACATTTACTGCAGCAGGGTCCCCAACCCGAAACCCGTCTAACATTCGATACAAGGAGCATTGAGAGCATTTCCAAGTGGTGAGCATTCTCAAGGGTAGGCACATGCTTCAACTTGTTTCGGCTGACGTCGACCATCCTCAACCTCATGCTGTCAGTTTCCGAGCTTAGGCTTTTGGCTGTTGGGACGGATCACTGCCATTGAGGGTCCAAAACTCATGCTTGAGGGGCTTGTGGCAACCATACCGAAGAATGCTACACTTCTAGGCGATTCTAGGCCATTAAGATTTGGGCTGTCCAGGTTCAGTGTTTGATAGGTCAGTACCTGACATATGTATGTCGTTTAGCATGTCGAACTCAATATAATACAGCTGTCAGCTTCCTGGAAGAATGTCAGCATACAAGCCATGACCCATCCCACAGCTCAGGGCGAGCCTGTAAACGCTAGTTTCAACTGCGCAGCATTGCTCTCCCGGCGGCAAGCATTTCCTTTCGCATATGCATGGCCAGACTCCCAGACCCTTGAAAGGACGGAACAGTAGATACCTTCCTTCAATGGTGCCCTGTAAAGCGCCCAGTGCAAGTCAAAGGGCTCCGAATTGGAGAATGGGCTTGCTAGATCCTACGAGGGGCTAGGATGTCATCTGCATGACCCCACTTCGACAGCCTCTCTCCGCTGTCGCGTAATAACTAGGGCAGCACTAAGCCACTGCAGCATGCACCTCCACTACAGCCTGCTTACGTTAGATGCAAGGTTTGGGGATTTAGTTTACTGGAGGCCAGACCCCAAACGCACCTTACCTACCATCTCCCCTCCTGGTGCTGTCATTCTCCAAGTGGCTCGGTGTTGGACTGGAGGCTCGGCATCCTGAGATTTGGGCATTTCCGAAAATAGGGGACCCTAATATAGTACCCTAAATAGTAGGGTACTAATTATAAGGATCCCCCCAAATAAGGTGCCCCTTGTTTTCGGAAGCTCCCGTTTCTTTCGGGCTTCAAACACTTTTATCGGCGGGCTTCGTCTTCGTGGTCTAGGGGTAGACTGCCCTGGGACGACGGGAACCGGGTGCAGAGTTTAGCTGCAGAGTTTAGACTTGTCTTTGTTGCCGTGCCTGAAGAGCTTTGATGTTCGTTCCATCTTTGTGGTTGTGATCTGTGCTCGGGTGTCAGGCTTTCTTGGGAATTGCTGGATTCCATGCGGGGTAAGTTTCGTTGGTGGTTTAAGGCCTAATCTAGAAGCCGGAAAGTTGGCAGACCGTCATTGCGCTACCTTTAAGGTTTAATCATCCTTCCTCCACACCCCAACTGTTTAGAGTTTACTGCAGGATCTACTAGCGCTGTCATGCTAATTCCATGACCGCCCAAGTTCTCACAGCCCGCTTTCCCCACGACCTGTTCTAGCAATCCCAGATGACGTCCAAGTCTCGGAGCTCAACTTCGAGAGACTGGCAGTGCCTAAAACCATAGCGGTCTAACCACCGTGGTCAAAATGTGGATTAGAATGTGTAGGGAAAACATCTGCATATATTCTTCGTGTCTTGATTACGCGTGAAGGTGGGGTCGACATTTTCCGGTGCAGGGAGGAAGACGTGTAAAAGGTGGTAGCAGCCTGCGCCCGAAGCAGAGGCCGTCCATCGACAACTCGAAGTGTCAGTCGTTCCAGGCATTGCGATTTAGAGGCAGGAACCCTAAACCCTAAACCCTAGGCAGGTCATGCTTAATGCTCTGAAGTCGAGGCGCTTGTAAAGATTGTTTTTCATGACCTCAGCTGCAAGCGACTGGATGGTTTAGCCTGGGCCTCCGACTTCTAAATAGATTGGGTTTAGGGTTTAGGGTTTAGGGTGTAGGGTGTAGAGTGTAGGGTTTAGGGCTTAGGGACTCCAGACCCGTCCTTTCGGCCTTCGTGCTTGGGCTCTTGGAGTTTTTAGGGTAATCTGGAAGCTGAAACCTCGAATCCGTCCCATCCACAAACCCCAAGGAGGCACGTCTTTCACTTCAACAGTGAGCTCTACCGCAGCAAAAATGTCCCACACCCGAGCCACAAACACTGTAAAACCCATAAACGCCAAAGCCCTGTTCAGACTCAGGACCCTGCCTCTTGAATTGGGTGTCGGGCATCTTCCAACAAGGCCTTGCTGTTTAAGGTTTCGGGTTCAGCCAAGCCCCCAAGACCCGGCAATTCCGGCAATTCGAATACCAGGTAAGCTCTGAAATGCAAAGAAGCGGCATTGAGGTAGCGGAGCTGTGTCAAATGCTTCAGCGGCGGAATCTCAGTCAATCTGTTCCAGCCCTTGGCGTGGTGGCTGAATGGGTTCAGAGCTTCCGCAAATGCAAGGCTCAACATTCGGGGTCAGGGTGACACGTTGCAATAAGGCTAAAATAACGTCACCTAGGTCGATTGTTGCTTAAGGTGTACAGGTTAGCCTGGGGTCTCCTAGACTGCGCAACCTACCCAATTGTCAGTGCCGCTAAACACCCAAATGACGGACCGCAGCCTGCACGACCTGGCTTAGGGTTTAGGGTTTAGGGTTTAGGGTTTGGGGCCTGGCTGCTGCTATTTGGAGCCTCTGTTGTGCTTTCGAGCACCTGACATACCAGGCGAAACAGTCGCAACTTGCAACTTCAACTCCACAACCCCCAACGGACTTTACGCCGAAACCCGAGCCACGAAAGCACACAGTTTCCGAACCCTGAGATGCTCGGAGGTTTCGTACAAGTTGGGCCTTGGAATACTTTTCCCGCCGCTGGAGATTAGGGTTCAGGGCCCCTTACGTTTTGGAATCCAGATAAGCCTGTGACAAGCCCCGTTTCAGCCCCATTCTCACATACCTCAGGAAAAGTTTTAGGTTTCTTTTTGCCTCCTACTTAGCAAGGACGAGCCCGCATTGCAGGGTAATGTGCTGTCTTGGTACATGCACGTCACGCCCCAGTGTCGGCTGCTGGTTATCCTGAACCTCAAAACACAGATTTAAATGCTCACTAAAGATTGAAGCCGCATGCTTAGTTGTTACCCTACCACGACTACCCTCAATCAGAACAACATGAAAAGCCTCCAAGCAATACTGTTGACCGTGGTCCATTAAGACATACATAAACATACAACGTAAACCAAGTCCCCCAGTGGCGCCCCTAACCCACAGCGATAACCCTAAACCGCTAGATTGGCTGGAGCTTAGAAGACAGACTCGCCACCACATCCAACGCCTCCAGCTGCCGCAGCTCCTGCAGCACTACCTAAGCCCCTTGGAGAATCTATTATGTAATGAAACGCCCAGGAAAATGTTGAGAATGATAGGCTGATAGGTATAACTCAAGTATAACAACTAAGACAACTGCTGACGCATTGCTGTTGCTGCTATTTTTTGTTGCAGTTATTACTGTAATGCATTGTGCCTTTGGCTTGTGGAGTAGTACTATGACCACAAGAAAGGTTGCCTGCAAGCGCCCATAATGGTACATGGCCCAAACTTAGTAGCTCTGCGGTCCGCATCGTCGCGGGTGTTTTGGGGCAGGCTTTGGATTCATAGAACACAGAGCTTCGGTTAGGGATTAGTTAGTGCATACGCTTAGGCAGGTCATTGACTCTCCTGGAAGATTCTTAGGTGCACGGATCTAAAGCTTGAGAGCTTAGCAATTAGGGTTAGGGGTTTATAAAAAGAGGTTAGGGCCAGGGAGTGGCTTGGGAAGGGTGTTTAGTTCCACCTGAACGGACACGATCGAGAGCAAGTACGCTAAAGATGCAGGCTTGAGCGGTAGGAGGAAAAGCGATGAACAAACTGAGTCACCGATCCCTGAGTAACTCAAACCCCCAAAAACCAAACTCCTAACCTTAGGATCTGAGATCCCTAAACCCTTCAGCCCTCTAAGGACAGTCATGGAACCCTCAAAAAAACCTGCATCCTCGAGAGACCATAAGGTTCCTAAAGCCTAAACCCGAAGCCCTCAATGGCCCTCAAGCCTAAAACCCAATACCTTGAAAAACTGAGCCCCAAGAGGCCTCGAAGATTGAAAACTTCTGAGATTCTGAACCCCTCAATCGCTAAATCATAAACTTTGAGGCATCCTTTGAAGCCCTAAACCCCCACCAAGGCCACAGCGCCTCCAACGGTGGCAAGGCTGTCAAAAAGTTGGCGGACATATGGAGCTCCTGGACCGAGAGGAAAACGGGTCAGGGCTAGGGTTTAGGTTATATTAAACGGACACACACGCACACACGCACGCATACATACATAGAGACGTTCATCCATCCATCTATCCATCCATCCGTCCATCAGTGCATACATAGATACATAGATACACAGATACACAGATACACAGATACACAGATACATACATACATACATACATACATACATACATACATACATACTTACATACTTACATACTTACATACTTACATACTTACTTACATACATACATACATACATACATACAAACAAACAAACATACATA